GGCAGCAGGGTCTACGGCAGCAGAGTTAGTTGGAATTGGTAGGCGTGACGGGTGACGGGAGGGACGGTGGGATGCGGAGAGAGCTGCTATTGAGCTGAAATGACAGCCGCCATTGCAAATTGAAAGCAGCAGAAGGCATGGCATGGATGGGGGGGGCCAGGCAGCAAGTGAGCCTTGTTTAGACAGCGCCGCCATGGCAATTGCACACCAGGTGGTGGGGGGTGGTGAGGGGTCTGGGGGGTGGCGGTATGGGGAGCATGAAGAATAGGCAGGGTGTCAGTGGAGGGACGTGCCTGTCGTAGGAGTCGTAATTAGAGCGTAAAAACCAGAGCGTACGAAAAACCAAACGCGCTCGGCCAGCTACTACTATTTTTTTTTTTTTTTTTGGTTTTTTTTACGGCTCTGCATTGTGTAAATGTGTCTGTGTGTACGGATACATATACAAATATTAATGTATGTGTGTGTGTGGGAGAGTGCTTTATGCGAAAAGAAAAATAGATAGCTAGAAAAAGAAAAAGCAGCAGCAGAAGCAGAAGCAGCATCAGCAGCATCAGCAGCGAGATGAGTAAAGGGAGAGTAAGAGAGAGTGGAGAGTGGTGGGAAAGGGCGACAAGCTAGAGAAAAGCTAAAGCAAACGAAGCGAAGTGCTGCCAAAACCTTCGCCCTAGCACCATGCCACACACTCACACTCCTGCCCCTGCCCCTCGTGACACATATATGATTATTTCCGAAAGGTGACAGCTATAAAAAAAAACAACAACAACAGCAACTACAGCAAACAGGGGGATTCAGTGCAGGAGGGGGGTGGCCCAGGAAGGCGGCAGTCAAGCATGTGGGCGGGACATATCATACACAAAAGGAGACGGCAAGACAACAAGAGAGCAAAAAAAAAAAAAAACAGGGGCAGGAGGCAGAACGAAAAAAACAGCCCATAGAGGGAAAGATGAGACAGACAGAGGAGAGACAACACTGTTGCTCTTTTCACATGCACACACACACACAGAAAGAGAAGGAGTGGGGCATCCACACCCACACACACACACCAATGAAGAAGCGTGAGAAGTAGTGTGAGAGAACCACCCACACCCACACCCACACACATGGCGTCATAAAAGGCGCAAACAAACAACACAGAAGCTCGTTGCTGTGACACCTTTTTTATCTGCTGCTTCTGCCCATTCTCCTCTTTTTTATCTTCCCTTCTTTTAATTTCATTCAGGGCATTTCTCCCTTCCATCCTCTAGCTCTATCCCTACCTTCTTGTTTCAGTTCTTTTCCATTTTTTTTTTTTTTCGTATTTTTCTAGCAAATTAATTAACAACAAATGCAGAAAGCAAAATGCAAAACTGCATTTTATGGGGAGCACTCCTTAAGCCTCTCATTTAATTAATATTCATCCAACAAGTTTTTTCGACTAACTGCGGCCTCCCACTCCCAATCCCAATCCGAAGTGGGAGGTAGACAGTGAGCAGGAGAGAGCGGGACAGGGGCAGGGACAGGGGCACCCTCTTATGGCAATCTCGGACTTCCGCTCAATGGTTTTTTCCGCTCTGTTTTTTGGCTTACTTTTTTACCCGGCAGTTGCGGCGGAGACAGCGCAAAAAAAAAATAAAAAAGGAAAGGAAAACGCAGCAGTTCAAGGAAGTAATTATGGTTTATCCAAAGGGACAGATAGTGGAAGACGAATGACGGCAGAGGCGGAGGACTCGCTCAAACTTCAACTTTGCGAGAAAAGAAAAACTAAATTAGAAAAGGGCTGCAAGAAGTCAGCGGGCAGAGAGAGAGAGAGAGAGTGGAAGGTAAGAAGAGGATGGATGGAAAAGCATCAACAGAAAATACTATCAACAGAAATAGAAGCAAGAGTTATATATTGTAGATAAGGTAAGGCATTCAGGCAATCTCCTGCTTGCAACTGAAACAAATAGAGAAATCCGCCTGCTTCAGGCCTCATCTTGTGCGAAGACAGCAGCAGCAGAAAAATCCCACACAACGGTGGCAGACCGGAGATAGCAAGTACCTCCATCGAAAGTAAGAAATTTCCGCATATTTAGAGCGCTGTCAGGGTAGGAAGGGTTCACCCTGTACACAGACACCTTGAATGGCACCGAAAGTAGCCAAAACAGCCAAAAGGAAAGTCAGATAGGCCGAAGCAGCAGCAACAGCAGCAGCAGCAGCCGCAGCAGAGACAAATAGCAGCAAGTTGCATTAAATGTCAGCCAAAGGTAAGGGATATTCTCTCTATATTCGCATGTAACCCTGCTGATTTGTTTGTATCGGTATAAATAGTTTTAGGTCTCAAAAGGAGACATCACCTTATGCTGCATATATCCTGCATAGATATCAACTTCATCTAAAACGGCAGCCGCCGCGATAGTAATGAAAGCAGCGATGCTGACAGCAGCAGCAGCGGGAGAGGCGAGCAATGGCAGCGACAGCGACAGCGATAGAGACAGAGACGAATGAATCAAGTTTCAGTGGAAGGACAGGGACGGACAACATAATTGTCTATTGGAGTCCCTGCTAACTAACTAGCAACAACAGCAGCAGCAGCAGCAGCAGGAGCAGCGGCAGGAGAATAAAGTGGGGGATAGAGAACCAACACAAGAGGAATAAGACGAAGTGGAGAATGAAGAGTGAGCCAAAGCGAAACAACAACTGAAAATGACATGATGAAAAATAAATATACAAATAAAGTTTACTTGCTGCAAAACAAGAGAGTTGGCAGTGCTTTCGTTGGGTTTCTTTCCGTATTTCCGTTTTGCCGTCTTTCCCACTTGCGCCCACAGAGGGTTTCTGGACTCCTCCAGCCACCATCCATCCATCCATTCATTCTCCATCCTCCGTAACCCACCAGAGGCTTCAGCCAGAGAGCATTTATCGTGGGGCAAGTGCAATTTCTTGTAGTTTCAGTTCGAGTTCAATTCTGTTTGCTTTTGCAATCTCGTATTCTTCTTTTTTATTTTTTCCGCGCGCGCCCCCCACTCTCTCTTTATTCGTTGTTTTGCGTTTCCCTCACTTTGATTTGTTCGCCGTCTTCTGTTGGTTCCCGTTCGCCGCCCCGACCGACTCTATCAGAGTCGGCAAAGAAAAGTTTCCCTGTCGTCGTCGTCGTCGTCGGCGGGTAAGAGAAAATAAATTGCAGTGCAGAGAAAATTTTACGCTGTTTGCCGCGAAATTGATGGGGAATTGATTTGAAAGCAAATACATAAATAGTTGCAAGTGGTAGCCACACACCCCACCCGCCTGCACCCGCTTACTCAACAATGGCATAAGTCTTGTGGGGATGGGGAGCTGAGACTGAGCCTGAGACTGAGAAATTGGTTGGGAATGTTGACGGAAAATGTGGAAAATGCGATTGTTCTGTTCCACTCTCTCTCTCTCTCTCTCTCTCTATCAATATCTCTTCTACCCTGTCTCTTTCTGTGTTGACTTCCGTGATATTGAGAAATCGTTGTTGTCCCTAGCGGAGTTATCTATCTATCTGCGGCAATTTGTTTTTCCACTTGATTGCCCTAACCAATGAGTGAGGGAGACAGAGGTCTCGGCTCAGACATGGGACTCGTTAGCACAGGCGCCTAACTAAGACTGAGCTTTGAGGGGAATTATTAGTGGAGTTTCGTTTAATTTCGAATGAAATTCAGCATGGAGATCATCTGCTACGAGATTTATTCTTCTAAAATAAAAGACATGCGAAAGGCGAATGCAAAACAAAAAATATACACAAAGTGAGTCTTCAATGCGGTTTACTCTTTATAGTACAGTGCGTTTCATAGCTAGTCGTAGAGCTTCTTGGCATCGGCCTTCCACCTACTTCCCCTTTTCCCAACTGAATGAATAACCTCTGCTGAAATCTGCCATAATTTAATTTAGTACTCAAAATGTAGAAGATTTTAATTTGATTATTCAACTAAAGTGCAGTGCGTTTCATAGCTGTATGCTGTCAAGTGGAATTTTATATCAATAAATATGTGTTGTTGTCTGTTCCCATTGAATGCATTTTCAATATGCAATTCAAATGAAAAATTCCTTAAAACTGGGAGTACTTTTTCCACTACACAAGACAGAGTCTATTGGGGGATGATGGATACCTGGCGACTCCGTCAGTTAACAAAAGGCATTCTTTGGCTCTGTCTCTGCCTCTACCTCTACCTCTCTCTCACGATATATCTTTGTGCCTTTGTCAATCAATAAATAACCCATAAACTCACTCGTACTCGTACTCGTACTCGTTTGGGTGTTCACTTGGAAAATTCCACTGAAATGCAAAATAAATTACAGTGCGTTTCAGAGCAATGCAACAACAGATTTGATGTAATCCCAATTCAATAAGTGGCTCCGCGCCACTCCACTCCTTTCATATCTCCGTCTCTCCTTTCATTCATCCACTGACTGCATTAATAAGACGATTATCCTCAGTGCCTCAGTGCCGTCTATGAATATGTGTCAGTACATGTTTGGCTGCCTGCAAATATCGCTTCTGACATGTTCTATTCAATTCATTCGCCATTTCAGCCACTTGGCAAAAATTGACTTAACTCTCAAGCAGCAACAAAGCCACAAGCCATGCTGCAGTGCCACACACCCCACCCCCCACCCCCCACCCAGCCTTGCTGCATCAGCCTTGCATCACGAATCCAATCCCGAGCATATCTTCTTTTATAACTACAACAAAATGCAACCGCAATCCAAACTTGTACTCCGTGGCATGCCTCATCCTCATGGCACCATTTGTGCCACACAGTCTCTGCCACTGCCAGGTGCTGCTCCACCTGCGGCAGCAACCACAACGCAGCGCATACTTTGGCACGCTGTCTGTGCATCCCAGCCACAACAGCTTGAGCTCTCGACGTGGAATCTCGCAGTGTGTGTAGTGGAATGTATTTCGGGGGTTTTTGGGAATCCACTTACGAGTGGCACGGCAAGGCACGGCACATACGATAATAATATATGCGTGCATGTGCAGAGTGTGTATGTGGCAGAGTGTGTGGGTATTTACTTACCGATTCAATGGCCTTCTCCAGTCGAAAGATCTCCTCCTGGAGGAGATGCAGTGTTCCCGTTTTGCCGCGATGACGTGCAAAGGCAGCGGCACAGGCGCTATGTATGCTGTTCACCCAGTTCTCGAGCTCCACCTGCGGAAAGGAAGGAACGGAGAACGGGGGGTAGAATTGGTTAAAGAGGAAACATGCTAACAAATTGCAGGACCAAATGCACCGCAAGCAATTTGCTTGCTGCGCCCCAGCGCCAAACGTCGAACTTCTGCCATCGCTCCCCTCCCCACCCCACCCCACCGTCGTGTCACCTCCGTCATTGCTGTCGTTGGCTGACTATCAGTTATGCAAATTTAATGACAAATCACGTTGGCCCAGCGAGGGAGCGAGAGTTGGCAAACTGACAAACTGCCACAGAGAGAGAAAGAAGAGATAGAGAGAGAGGTAGAGGTAGAGAGGAGGGGTGGGATGGAGCGTATGCCTTTGAGACATGTAACAGTTTAGGGCACAAGGATGCGGCTGCAACTGCGGCTGCTGCTGCTGCTGCGGATGCAGCTCCTGTTCAAGGCAATCTGCCAGTTGGCAGTCAGTCAACGCCGAGAGTTGCCTCATCCACACCTCAATCACATTGCTCACACCCCGCCTCGACTCGACTCGCCTCGACTCGACTCGCCTCACCCTCCACTGACCATTTTGTGAGCCTTTTGCGGCTTGCGTCAGTTAACGCCTGCGTCAGCGTCGTTCGTCCTCGTCATCGTCATCGTCCATGCCCATGTCCTCGTCCTGTATCTGTAGCTGTAGCTGTAGCTGTATCTGCAGCTGTATCTGTGAGCCTGTATATTCTGTATATTCATATATCTGGGCGCAGGGCATCTGTATGCATCTGCTGCTGCTGCTGCTGCTGCTACTGCTGCTTTATGTGGCATACATTTTAGCCTGGCGATTATGAGGAGACTGCGTCTGAGGCCTGTGTGGAAAGGCCGCGAGCGCTGAACTCGGGCTTGGGCTTGGGCCCGGACCCAGGCCTTCCATCCGTGCCACATCCTTGTGCAAACAAATTTCAGTTGCCAGTTGCCTTGCCGTTGCCTTGCCGTTGCCTGGCCTTGCCTTGCCTCATAGTTTTCCTTGAAGGACTTGTGTGCGCCATGGATATTGACTGCTCAAAATGAGAGCCTCAGGCGGTGTGGCATCCTCATTTACCGCCCAACCCACCCACCACCCACCCAACAAACCGCCCCTCGAAGGACTCACCTGACAGGGCGCCTGGAAGAGATAGGCATCTCCGAATGCCGTGCTCAGACAGAAGATGTAGTCACGCTTGGGATGCTCGGGTATCGGTTGCATAATTGCACCATCCACAATAATTAAATGCTTGGGCGCCGCCTCCACGCTCCGCCCCTCACGGGAGTCGCATGGATAGAAGAGCAGGGTGGTGCCCTTCAGGCACACCCAATACCCCTTCCAGCCCCGCTTGCGTGCCAATTCGATCTGATGCTTCTTGCGTAGTAACCATTTCTTCACCGATAGGAAGCTGTATTCGTGTAGGAAGAGAGAGAGTTAGAGATTGGTTTAGTTGGGTAACAGCTTCAGCTTCAGCTTCAGCTACAGAGTTCCCTCCGCCCCTCCGCCCCTTCGCCATTTGGGGAATTGTAATCCTAAAGCAAGGAGAGGGAAGAGCGGCAGAGCGGCAGAGCGGGCGAAACTTCAACAGCTTCCAGCAGGGAATCTCCTGCTTCATAACGCTTCGCACACTTTATCATAATAATGTTAATCCTCAGACTCATCTTTGTGCCCCTCTCCGGCTACCTTAATCACTGCGAAATTATATTCCTTGGTGACCCCCAAGGGAGACCACACACACCACACACAAGCAGAGATAGATAGAGACCGAGATACCCAGAGACCCAGGGAGGACGGACTCCATCCTGGGGGTTATTTATGATGACTTGTTGGACGTGCTCTCCTGCTGCTGCTGCTGCTGCTGCTCCTTTTGGTGGCTGCCACAGATTACATCAACTGAAGGCAGGAGGCGGCCTACACTGAGCTTTGCGAGTGGGCGAGCTTGGCGAGTTGGGCTCTAGTTTAAGGATTTCTGATATCTTGAAAGATTGCTCAGTGTTGCACACTGCACTCTTCAATGAAGAGTTCCGATTTATGTATTTTCTGTGGCTCAAAACCCAAACATATATAAAATATTCTCTGTACCGCAAATTGAAATTTAATTGTAGTGGAAAATACCCTAAGAGAGGACTAGAAATATGCTTCAAAATGTTAATATGAGATAAATCTAGATAAATCTTTGCCTGGCTCTCTGGCTGAGAATATATTTAATTCCTTGCACATAATTTTCTATTCTTCTATTTATCTTGTACCTAAAAACCCTTTGTAGACTGAAGAGTTTTGTTCTTGGTTAAAGGAGAAGACTCACCCAGCTTTTCGTACAGCTCCCGTACAGTTGAAGGAGGATGCAGCGGTGCCAGTGGCCTTTGCTTTATATGGTGACGCCATGACACTTTCCCCATCATCTTCATCCGAAACGGCAGTAGTTAGGCTCATTCGATCATCGTCCGAAATCTGTAGGGGCGGCGGGGGGTATAAAAACATCAAAAGAAATAACACAAATCAGTGACGAAATGGAGCACAACAGCATGAAGAATAATGTATCACAATTCGATTTTAATTAAGGCAAAGAAGGGACACGTGGAGTCACGTACGAGGTGGGTTCCATTCGGCTCGTTTCGTTTCGATAAAATTCAATAAATCCAAGAAAAAATAATTGAAATAATTAAGTCATAATTAGCAGGCAGGAAGCGCAGGCAGGCAGCGCAGGCAGGCAGCCAATGCCAGACACAGAGCCCCGAAGAACAGCGAAGGATTCAACTGTAAGTTCTGCAACGAAGCCATTTGAAACCAATAATGGCGGCTGCCCTCTCTCTCTCACTCTCTTACTGTCGTTGTTCTGGGTTGCTGCCTCTGGGATGTTGCTGTTGTCAGTGCCGACAGCAACATTTGTTACGTATGTCGTTGATAAAGCAATTTGTCTTCTCTTCTCGCCTGCATTTTTAGTGGGCGAAGGAAGAAAGACGAAGGGACAAAACGTAGGGAGGGGTGCCACAGGCACAGGGCACCAGCCAGCCAGCCAGCCAGCCAGCCAGGACTCAGAGCCCAAGATAGAGATAGGGCAGGACGTACAATTGACAAAATTGCAGACAGACAGACAGAGCAAAAGGAAAGAAAGAGGAGAGATAGAGAATGAGAATGAGGAGGAAATAAATGGCGAATGGCGAATGGCAAACTGTTACTTGGCAATGTTATTTCATCAAAAGCCGGGGACTCCTCGGACTCCCCGGCTCACTAACTGACTGAATGAGTGAATGACTGAGTGACTCACTGACTAAATGGCAGAAGGACCGACCGACCGACCGACTGACTGACTGACCGACCGACTGACTGACTGACTGACTGACTGATTGTTGTTTGCCTTTAGCCTCTGCCAGGCCTTTTCCCCTTCTACCCCCCTCCAACTTCCTTCCGTTCTTCTCACAGCAGCAATTTTCCTGGCTTTGCAACAGGATGGAAACCTCTCACCCAAGCCTCGGTCCTCGGTCCTCGGTCCATGTGGGAATTCCAGACCAAGACTCCCGGCTACGTGTCCCGCGTGGCAATAAAAATTGGTTTGCCCATTCATTCGTTTCAATCGAAAGGAGAAATGTCGAATGGTGGCGGGGCAGTGGCAGTGGCATGCCACACCACACCACACCACACCAGCCACCCACCCAGGAAGCAGGAGCAGCAGAGCATGGAGAAGAGCCAACTGTCGCTCACTTGCTTTTCATGCCACTTTTTATTTGAGTTCCCAAGGAAATCAATTTACAATGTGTTTATTCGTTTCGTTTCGTCACTCCTTGCCCCCCCCCCTCTCTGGTGCTCCACATTCTCCTCGTAGTCCTGGAACTGGAACTGGAACTACTCCTCCTCTGCCTGCTGCTGATGGCCTGGTTACTACGATACTTCATTCCTCCCCCTGCATCTCTTCTCGGCTTACGTTTTTGGCAATTTTCAAACATTTTTGCTCATATGCATGTTTTACAAGTTATTTATTTGACTGCCTGCTACCCAGGACACCGCACGACACCCCAGGACACCCCAGGATACACAGCGGGAGGGGCAGTAGCAGCAGCAGCAGCAGCAGCCAAGTGGCTTGTGCGTTCTGTGTTTGCATACACTCCGGAGTCCGGAGTCCGGACTGAGTGCCCCACCCGTGGCGCAGGCTCTTGCTCCTTGCGTCTTTTGCCAGCCATGGGGTCATGTGTACTTAACCCACAATCAGACGACAAGCTTGAGGATGAGGATGGGGACTACGCAGACGTTGGCCAAGTTTAATCAAATTTTATATTAATCGAAGGAGTGCAAAGGCATGCAAATAACCAAAAAGAAAACCTGGAAACCCCATGTGGTGACGATGGGTGGGGGGGTGATGGGTGCGGGGTGGGGGGTTGGCTTAGTGGGTGAGGTGCCACGAGACAGATCAAAGTGGTTACATTACAGATGCGGGTGTGGTGGGGAGGGACGGAAGGGTCGGAAGAGGAGAGGCTAACCAATCGATATCTGTGCGTGTCACTTTAAAAGGTTGCAGGATTTTCCACTCCACTCTCTGCCCCTCCCCCGCAACCCCCTCCTGAGCCCAATTTAAAAGGAAACTTTCATATTGAAAACTTCAAGAACAGAGGGAAGCTCTCCGCTCTCTCGCTCTCTCTCAAAGATGGGATGGAGAGGAGCAACAACCTGCCTGCAGGAGGGGCATGTGGCACAGGGCTCTGGCACTGGCACTCCACCAAAATGAAATAGTTTCCGCTTGCTCAATGAAGTTTTCCATGAAAATCATCATCAGCCAAGCGGAAGCTGTCGAGCGGAACTGTTGAACTGTTTCAGGATGAGGATGAGGATGAGGAATGGGGGTGGGGCGCATGTAGCATGTGGCATGTGGGCAAGGGAATCGAATGGAATCGAAACGAAACGAATGTGTGTGTGTGAGGAGGGCACAAGAGTAGGAGAGCGAGTGTTGGCTTGGAGTAAGGATTGCAGAGATTTTCATTTGATTTAAAGACCAATGCTTAACCCAGTAAAAGGAACACTCGCACTCGACCAGTAATCGACTTCAAGGGAGACACACAGAGACATAGTGAGAGAGAAAGAGAGAGAGAGAGAGAATCCAACAGAGAAACCTCTTCAGTAAATCAAATTTTGTGACTTTAATACCATTTAACCCAAAAATGTAAGCGACGAAGGTGGTGGGGGGAGGAGTGCTTCACCTTAGGGAAAGAAATAGAAGGCAATGTCCCTGAGATAGAATTGGCGGAGGTTGGGGGGGGCCTAGGGGTCTAAACTATGGGAATTATGTACCCTTTTACAACCGATTACTCTGCATACGAAATGATGGTCTGTGTTGCTGTTGCTGTTCCTGTTCCTGTCCCTGCCTGAGTCCTTGCTCATCGTCATCGTAGCCCTAAAAGTACCTGGCAAGCGCACGTACCCAAAAGTGATTGTGTCCTCTGAGCGTCCAAGGAGTTTGTCAAATGATTCATGAATTTTTAATTGGCCCTTACCCCGGACTACACGCCGGAGTAGTGTTTCTTGAATTTCATCAGCCCCCGACAATGAGATTTAGAGGCCTACAAATGGTATCTCTCTGGTCTCTCCCTTGCCGACCATTACTGGGCAGCAGCACTCACAGAGCTCGCACGAATGGGGGGGGGCGGTCGGTGTGAGCACTCACATGGGTCTAAGCCTAAATGGGCAACCCAAAACACGAACGAGAAAGCGGCCCAAACAACAATCACACAAAAGATTAAATGCCAGCCAGTCAGTCATTCGTTTTGGTGGGGGGGGGGGGTTCAACCTACCTACCCCACCGCCACCTCCGTCTCCTGCTTGTCGGTGCTGCTCCATCTGATTACTTTGGGGCCTAATACGCCATATCTCAGCATCAGTGCAAAATCAAAATTCAATTTACGCACAAACGAACGAACCCTGAACGAGCCAACACACACACAGCAGAAAGAGCAGACACGCCCACTTAGGCAGCGGATGGGATGGATGTGTTTTGGCTGCTGTTTTCTGCTGCTGCTGCTGCTGCTGCTGCCTCAACGCAGGTGGCTTGTCGGGATGCCGGAATTCCCAGGTGCTTTTCTGGTGGGGCCTGCCTTTCGTTACGATTTCTAATCAAGAATTGATTGTGATCCCTCGATGCGGCTGTCGTTCACGTTTCACCCATAATTATCAATGACTTTTGAATGTCAAATGTGAGCGAGCGAGCGAGAGTGAGAGAGAGAGGAGCATCAGAGATGTCGTTGCCACAGCCATTGTCACACCCTTCGTACACCATTTACACCCCAGCCCTCCCTCCAATCACCACTTGATGTTTTTTTTTCCAGTTTTTGTTGAAGCGAAAAATCTTTGTCATATGTCGCCTGTCGTCAAAAATTACAATATTTGATAGAGTGTTTATGCAGCGCGTCTTATGCTCCCTGTCCCTGCTCCTCCTCCTCCTCCTTAGGGCAAGGATAAGCATGGCTTCTGCTGCCTCATGTGGTATCTGTGGCACGTCGCTGGCATTGCGATTAAGTGAGGCATTAAGGCAGCTCAAGTAGAAGAGAGAGAGAGAGAGCTTCTGCTGCTGCTTCTGCTGCTGCTGCCTCTGTGGGGCAGGGCAAAGGAAAGCTGTTTTTCTGTTGCCCCAAAATGAAATTGATTCAAAGACAAATCTGGAATGCAGTCGATTGAGACTCGTTGGGACTCCTTCGTTAAGGATAAATTGGGTAAAGGTTCTCAAAGATAGATGGATAGATAGATTCAAGTGGGGTGGGGGTTCTGTCTGCTTAAGTTTCCTTTTTTTTTTTCAGCTGCTGCTGCTGTTCCTTTTGCACTGAGAAAATCAATTTGGAATTATCCAGCACAGCAGCATTTCCAATTTGATTAAATCTGCAGAAACTAATTGCCTGAAGGTGAAAACTGTTTAGCATTGAATCGATCAAAATTGACAAGCAGCAGACACAGAAGGGGTGGTGGATGGGAGGGATGATTGCCACCCTACAAGAAAGCAAAACCCCCAACCCACATGGGCATAAAAATCTGTTTTATATTCAGTTCGTGTGCGGACATAATAAGCTTTAATTTGACAAAAAGGAATGAATGAGTCATTAAATTAACCCACACTGACACCCACACACATTCCATTCCATTCCAGCAGATACTTTTGTATCTTTAATCCAATGAATTTTATTCAGGCACATACTCTCCTTTCGCCTTTCGCTCCTGCTATCGGTTCTTGGCCATTAATTAATATGCAGTTGGCCATTGCCCTAATCCTTGATTCCATTCAGGCTCTGCCACTCATTTGAATATCTGCTGCTGCTGCTGCTGCTGTGTGTAGTACGAGAATATCTGTATCTCCGGACCATTGTATATTTTGTTTGTCAAGTCTAACCAAATGAAAGATACATGTAAACAGATAAACACTGCTAGATACACTACTCTCACTCACTCTATCTATCCATTTCTGTGTGTTTCAATTAAGCTGTGAAGTGGCTTTACTCACAGTTTATTCATCACAGACACGCCATCAAAAGCTGGATACCTGCTGCCTGCTATCTCCATTGAACTATCTATCTAACCATCTAACCATCTATCCATCTATCCATCTATCTATCTCTGCTCTTTCTATACTCTTTCTGCTCCATAGAAATGGCCTTTTATCACTTTGAAGCACTGTGCTGTGTGTGTGTCTGTGATTCATGCGTATTGCAATCAATGCCATTCATTACCCAAAAACTATATACAGCACTTCAAAAGGAGCTGGCTGCTGCTATGGCCATTTCTCTCTCTCTTTCTCTGTCTCTCTGTCTCTGTATAAGAGTGTGTATGTGTGCTAAGAGCTTTTCTTTTGGGTGGGGTTTGGGCTAATGCTTTAATTTATTGCTCCTTTTGTGGACGGAGAACAACTCGAGCGTGTAAAGGATGGGCTTTGGCTTTGATCAACGTTTTGTTAAGCAACCAAATAATTAAGGACCAAGGAGCACCCAACATGGCCTGCTGTACTTAATCTTAAAGGTAAATCCTAAAGTATCTCGAAAGATTCTGATTCGGATTCTCTTTCTGATCTGATCTGAATGTTGTGGATGGGGGGACTTTTACCTTGCGAAGGAACATTTCGTTGCACTGCTTGGCCGTGCTGCGCCAATGGCGATGCCTGTACCGCGAGTTGCCCAGCTTCAGGGTGCCCTGCAGATCGGCCGCCTCCTCGACCACCCGACGGATGCACTGGTAGCGCAGGCGATTGCATCGATGGATCGGCTGCAGGGCCACCACACCGCCATGCTCCGGCTCCGATTCGGCGCCAGAGCGCACCTGATCCTCGTCATCGTCCACCCAGGCACTGAGCACACCCTCCACAAAGTTATACAGCATCTGGATGTTGGCCTTCATCGGTGCCGAACCGGATGGCACTTGCTCCGTTTTGATGAGCTTCCGATTCTGGCACACCTCCCGCAGCAGATTCTCCCCAAAGTGCACCGTCTTGTGGCGCCTCCGACGCGAGTTGAGCGACGCCGCCGAGGCGGACTTCATCAGCTTCCCATTGACCGTCGCCCCATGATGGCCATGGTGGCCATGGTGCACATAGGACGTGGCCAGCGGCTGCACCAGACTCGTCGTCGGCTCCAGCCATCCCAGACTCATGCCCATCGATGATGATGCCCCATGGATTCCGCCCCCGCCCCCGCCCCTGCCCGCGCCGCCGCCTCCTCCGGAACTGGCAGAGTCGCCGCGCTGCAGCGTGTTCGGCTGCGAGTTGCTGCGGTAGTGATGATGCGAGGGCGGCGATGGCAGTGGCCGCATCTCCAGATCCTCGATGTGGTCCATCATCATGATCGGCGGCGGCGCCGGTTCGATGTCGTCCAGGGTGGTCGGGGGCTGGGCGAGCTGTGTCCGCAGGCGGTTGAAGTCGGCGGCACAGCGAGGCAGTGAGTTGCACTTGGCGGCATTGAGGCATTTGCGATTCTGGCAGCTGAGGAGCGGGGCGCAGCAGGAGCGGCACTCGTGGCAGATGACCAGCCGTCGCTCCGTCCCTGCCGCTGCCGCTGCCTGTGGCGGTGGCGGCGGCGGCGGTGTGGCCGTCGTCGATGGCGTTGTGGGTACATCGGAGCCCATGCCTGCGGCTCCTATCAGATGGGCGGGCACCGTATGCAGCTGCACTTGGGCCAGCTGCTGGTGGCGGGCAAGGTTCACCGAACTGACGGACGAGGTGAGGCAGCGGCTGGGCGGCCCCTGCGCCTGGGATTGCGATTGGGATTGGCACTCCAGGTAGCGGCAGTGTGGATCCGTGCAGATGGGCAGCAGCGGACAGTCGGGATCTGTGCAGGGGCCCGGCGAGGGGGACCGTGGCGCCCGCTCGGCGCTGGAGGACTTGCGCTTGTGGCCGCCAGATCGCTGGGCGGACATGTCCGAGACGGTGGCCGATCTCTGGGTCTGATGGCGACGCGATCGCTCCCTCTTCGTGGCGGAGACGGAGCCGGTGCCGGTGCCGGTGCCAGAGACGACGGGATCCTTGGCCTTGGGCACATACTGATACCGATCCTTGTGTGGCTTCGCGTACAGCCGTTCCAGATGGGCGGCGGATGGACCAGCATTGCCTCCTCCTCCAGCCACCACTTCGCTGGCGGAGTGTCGCAGCCGGCGCTCCCTGGACCGATCCTCTCTCCGCTGGCAGAGGGGCGTGTGGGCGAGGGCCAGGCTACTGGGCACGGCATAGCCGCTGGGCACGTTGGGGGCCGGAAGCGGCGGCGGCGGCTGCTTGCCGAGGGACTGCAGCTTGTGCAGGGGATAGGCTATCCAGTCGGGCGCCTGCGAGAGCTGCTGCTGCGCCTCCTCCTCGCTGGCCGCTCCACTGTGGCCCAGGGAGTGCCGCTTGCGCTGGGAGCTGGCGGTTGGCATGGCCTCCTCCTGGGAATTGGACCTGGGCGCGTCGCCCCCACTGCCGTTGCGACGATGATGGGAGCGCCGCGGCTTGGCTGCACCGCTGGCCTGCATCTTCGTCAGCCACTCCACAATGTCCGTCTTCAGCAGCGAGAACTCGCACGGTCCGGAGCTCTGGCGGGACAGCGGCTTCTTCAGCAGCTCGGACAGGGCCTTGGCGTAGGCGGAGGAGGAGCTCTGGCCCTTGGCCGCGTCCGACGGCAGACGCTCCCGCTTCCTGGGCAGGTGATCCAGCAGCCAGTCGGGCAGCTCGTCCTTCAGCACGGTGATCTCGCTGGGCCCGGAGGAAGTGCGCGCTGGTGCCGCCGCCGCTGGCGATGACGTCTTCTGCAGCTTCAGCCACTCCATGGTCTCCTCCCGCACCTGTCCCCCTTCCGCAGAGCGGGCAGAGTGACGCTGCTGGGCCTTGCGGTCGAACCACTCGAGCTGCTCGGGCGCCTGCCGCAGGGCGCTCTTCGGCATGGTGGCCACTTCTTCGGCGCTCTTCTGGCGCCGCGGCGGCAGCTGCGGCTTCTGCTGCTGACCGTGACTGTGACTGTGCCCGGAGGGGGGTTCGATGAGGCGCACCGAACCCTTGCGACGGATGCACTTCTGCTCCATGGTCTCCTCGTCGCGGGCACGCACTCGCCGCGTGATCTCGAAGATGTCCCCATTGATCTGGTGATAGAATTTCTCCACCTCCACGCCCCGATCGAACTCCTCCTTGGCCGTGGGCTTCTGCGAGCGTGACGGAGGCCTTGGCGGCGGTGGGGCCACCGACTCCTCCATCTTCTTCTTCTCGTCGCTCTCGTCCGAGGAGGCGTTGAGCAGAGCCCCGGCCCCAGCCGCACCGCCATCCACGACCCAACTTATCGAACGCTCAGCGGTGACGGGAGCTGCTGCTCCCCCGGCTGCTGTCGTCTTTTCCGATTGCTGCAGCAGTCGATCCAGGGAACCGTGATGGGTCTTGATGGTCGGCCCCAAGGAGCCCTCGCCGAGCGATTGCAGCCGGCACTGGGCATTGCAGATGCAGACGCCGCGCTTTTTGCTGCCGAAACGGAACAGCTGGCTGGCCAGCTGCGAGACATTCTCGCCGAGACCCAGCCCCAAGCCGCCGCCGCCGCCGACGGTGCTTTGCTGCTGTCCCGCGGCGGCTCCACCCGCATCCCTTCCCGAGGCCGTTGTTGCGGATGTCAGGCGTCCTGGGTGTGTGACGGGTGTGATGTCGACGATCACGCAACAGCAGTGCAGCGAGAAGGTCTTCTTGGGATCGCCGTCGCTGTCCGCGCCGCCAGCACTGCCACTTCCTGCACTTCCTCCTCCTCCGCCTCCTCCGTTTCCGTTTCCTGTTCCGACTCCACCGCTGACACCGACTCCGACTCTGACGATTCCTGGTCCTCCGTGTCCTGGTCCTGGTCCTGGTCCTTGTCCTCCTCCTCCTCCCCCGCTTCCGATTCCGCCTCCTCCGCCAGACCCCCCGCTGAGGGCCGCACCGACCGCTCCGTTGTTGTTGTCGCCGCTGTGTTCCCGCTCGTTGTTGTTTTGTTGGGCGGCCAGAATGAATCACAGGAGGAGCAGCAACAGCAACGCCAACGCCAACGGCAACGGCTATCGGTATATGGACAAACGGGCGGATAATGCGGCTCGAATGGGGCTTCGAATGGGGCTGCTGGTTCGTTGCTGCTACTCGTTGTTCCGATTCGCTACACTTCGTGCTATTCGTTACTCGCTACTCGCTACACGTTACGGGGCAACTACTCCCGCTGTGGCCATGCAATGGAGGACGTCGACACTCTCGCTCCATGGATGCGCTCTCGCTGTTATTTATGCACTTCTCTATTCATTTGGCGATTATTATTCATTTGATTAATTAAACTAAAAGCTCATTTCGTGGCACTGTCATTTATTACACACAGCTTTTTGGCAATTTATCTCTCCGCCGTACTTTCTCTCTCGCTCGCTCGCTCTCTGTCTGTCTCGGGGGACGCACACGGTACGGGGGGACGCTGCGCGTCACACACACATTTATCTATAATTAATTATTTTTACTTGTTGCCTTTTTGCGGGCAGCAATAAAGAAATCGTTTTACCATCAGTCCGTCTGTCTGTCTGTCTGTCTGTCTATCTATGTGTGTGTGTGTGTTTGAGTGTGTGTGTGTATTTATTCGAGGATTTATTTAATTATATTTGTTTTGCTCTATAAATCACAAAGCATTTTGCAGTGTCCTTCCCCCCCTGCCACTGCCATGTTTCTGTGGGGCGGGGCAAACAAGTTGTAGTTTGTTCGCCTTTTTTTTAGTTTAGTTTTGGTTTCCCTGACTTTTATTATTCCCTTTACGAGAGTAGTTTTATTACAGGATTTAGACTAAACGAGTGGATTGATAGTGGGAATCTGAGTGGAACGTATTCTTCATGATTGGCAATCGCATAGAGGATGGATATGGATGGGTTGCATGGACTGCAAAGAACCAAAGCTAATTAAAATCTTTAAAACAGTAATTAAATTAGACAGATACAAAGAGAGTAAAGCAGCTATCGCAGCTATCTTTCTTTCTCGAATAAAATAATAGTACTTAATAAAAAAAAAGGTCCTGCTGCTCTTGCCTTTCAAATGTAAATAAATGTCATGAAATAGTCGCAGATTGCCCAGATACTCGTATTTCTGACTCCCTTTAAATCCTCATTCTCGTTTCGTTTACACAAGCCAAATCCCAGACAAATCCCGGACTGTCATCTGTTATGCTCTGCACATCTCTCCCATCTATCCCTCTATCCATTTGCTTATCTATCCATCTGTCTATGCCGCGTACGTACGTACACGTACGTACCGTACGTGTCTCCTAGGCGTAGGCGCTTTAATTAGCATACATATATGTACATATATAAAGGCCATCCGAAAACATTGTTTCATGTTAAACAAGTCAGTTTTTTTTTTTTTTTGCATTCGTTTTTCGTTTTTGTGATACGGAAGGCTGCTCTGCTTCTGCTGCTCGTTCTGCTGCTGTCTTTGGTGTTATTTTAAAGTTGCTCTGCGAAAAGTTTTTGCAGCTCGTGCGCAAATATTTTGTTTGTTATATTGCTAGCATAAATTTGTTGGCTATCTGCACGGACACAGACGCAGGCAGACGCAAGAGAGGCAGTGGCAGGCAGCTGGAGGAGGAGATGTGCATATATTTATAAGCGCATACATAAATACTTTTTGGGGGGAGGGGGAGAGACGGGCTGGTGGCAGCAAATGCATAAATTTCATGTCTACATCTACATGGAGAGATATGACTCGGAAACAGGCTATGGCTATGGCTATGGCTCTGACTCTGAGAATACCCATAGCTAGTTCCATGTAGATACCCCTACTATTCGTACCCCTACTCTGCTCCTGCTCCTGCTCCTGCTACGGTCATGTTTGTGTTTATGCAAAGGAGTTTACGAAAGTTTCCATCTTCCGTCATCTTTTTTTTCCCCCGTTTCGTTCGGCTCCTGCCAAAAAGTTTGCTTGTTAAGTGAAAGGATTATATGATCCAGTTCTTCCATGGGGCATGGGGCCAAGGGGGCCAAGGGGCACAAAAACTAAAAAATACACAAAAAAAAAAAAAGAGAAAATAAAACAACAAAAGTTTTCTTATTTTCCTATTTTTATGCTCATGCTGCTGCTGATGCTGCTGCTGCTGCTGCATGCACCTAAGATGATGGCATACCCCATACACAACACAGAACTTGCCACAAACTTGAGTTGTGTTGATAGTTTTTATAGCCTACTTTTCTGGGACTTGCCACACAGCACCCAGGGGAATCAGGGGGCATGAGCATGTGGCAGCGTGTCTCTTTGTGTGTGTGTGTGTGTGTGTGTGTGGCAGCGAGAGAGTTGCGAATTAGTGCGTCTTAGAGACGAAGGCAACACAAAACTTTTCGGGGCAGCTTGTCCCGTTTAGATTAGAGCCGTCGATAAGTTTCAAGTTTGCCGCATTGGCCATGTGTTTAGCTGCCAAAATGTGTGTGCGTGCTTGCAACGTGTGTGTGTGTGTGTGTGTCTGTGTGTGTGTGAGCGTGTGGCAAGGCTCAACTAGTTGGCAACTGATGGAGGCAGTGGGATACTTGCCTCCTGATCCACCACTTGAAAAGGTGCTTGGGCGCATTTGTTTAGCGATTTTCGCTTGATTCGGCCAATAAAGTTAATTTCCTTCACCCAGGAGGGGAAAACTTTTGCCAACCCCCACACCCTCGAAATCTCGTGCTAAATGACATTTTTATATCGTTTCGATTGTTGTCTCTTGTGGAACTGGAGGGGGGGCTGGGCTCGGCCCCAAAAAGTTTCCACGGAATTCCCAACTCAAAAATGTTGCACGGGCATTTCTATGCAGAGAGAGAGAGAGTCCTTAAGATGGGATCAGTGAGATAGTCGTTGCGTGGAACAGCCTTGGGCATGGATAAATATATATCTGTTTTGGAACTTAAACTTAAAAATTCCTCTGCCTCGCTAAACCTTCCCTTTTCTGCTGGCGCTGAGTTTGTATCTCGCTTGCCCGCAAAAGTAGGCAACAGTTTCCTGGCTTTAAGAATCTCTTTAAAAAGTTCAAACTTTTCTTTGTGTGTGTGCTGGATGCCTTGTGGATGAAGGATCTGGAGTACTCGCACTCCAGAGTGAAATATTTTTATGGAGGATGTGGCTCAAATAAATTAGATTTCCTCTTAATACGAGGGTCAGCCACAGGAGTGCTGCTCCCACTGTTTCTCTCTCTATCTTTCTATCGGTGAAGCCTCTGTTGACTTTTAGTTGAAATTATTTTTAATAGATTTATCGGAGCATCAGCTTGAAGCTTAATGTATTTAACACAGATACACACCCACCCACACACCCACAGTGGCACCCGGAGCGGGTGAGTGAGAGCCAATGGGCAGTGGCACCTATGGCCATAAATATAAATACGTTTAATGGTTACACCGAACCGAATGCTGTCCCTGTCCTTAGGTCTCTCTTTATAGCACTCTCTCTCTCTCTCTCTCTGTCCCTCTCTTGCTGTGTTTGTGTGTGTGTGTGTGTTTTTGTATCTGTGTGAACTTCGACAGGCATGACGTTGATAATATCCTTGCACATGTATGACGTTGCTTCTGCTGCTGCTTCGGCTGGTTATCCTTGGTGGCAACAGAAGGCGCTGCCTGCCTGCCTGCCACATGCAACAACAGCAGCAATAGCAACCATTGCTTGTTGATATTTTATTAGCCAGAAAAAAAGGATTCAAACACAACTAACGGTTTTTATTTCTTTTTGCGTGTTTGCGTCCCCCGTCCCCGCTCTGTTTCTTTGTTCGATTGCGATTTAAAAATGTTAAAAATATCCGGGCAATGTTGTTGCTGGTCGGGCATGGGCATGCCACACACTGGCAATAGCAACAACAGAAAACAGGGCCAAAACAGGAGCAAAACAAGTCAACAATATAACATGGAATCTCGACACGACTCTCGCTCGCGTTTCAAGTTTTTCCCATCTATTTTTCTCGCTCTATCTCTCTCTCTCTCTCTCTGCGTTTCTGTTGTTGTTTTTGTTTCATGGTTTTTTGCATTTTTTCCTTTTTCGCCTAGTATATGTTTTTGTTTTTTATTCGCGCCTCCACCTACGTCGCTCTCCTGCCTGCACCACTCCTGCGTCTAAATGCTGCCCTTACTGGGGCTGTCTGTGTCTGTATTTGTGTTTGCGTGTGTGTTGTTATTGCTGTTGTGTGGGTAAATATGTGTTAAGTGCGTTGGTATTTGCTTCGTCCTTTCCCTCAATTCTGCACACCCACCAAAAGGGTCGCCTCCGCCTCCGCCTTCCTCTCCCACAGTCTCACACACACACACACACACACTCAAATTCCTTTAGCGCCCATCATCACAGCTGCTCGGGCATTTTTCAACACTTTTTTTTTGTGTGTGTGTGTGTTGTGGCGTCTCCTCTCTGTTTTGTTTCTGCAACGCTGTGGCAAGTTTCTTAATTTGATTTTGACTGGTGGTTAATTTTGCATTTAATGCCACAAATGACAAACGAATCACATCCAAAAAAGATACACGGAATTTCTCTCGATTGTGTGGCTTCGCTTTAATTCAGAGCCAGAATAGAGCTGGGAATTTCCATCTATTTTTGGGCGGTTTTCCGTCTCCGTCTCCGTTTCCAATTTCATTTCAGTTTTCGGTTTTTTTTTTCTCTCCTAATTTTCCTCGTCTCTTTTTCTTTATTCCTATTTTTTGCCTTTTTTTTTTTGTTGTGTGTGTGTTTGTTTTTTTTTTGCATTTAACTTGTGTGCTAAATTATATAGCCTGCGTCAATTTCAGCCTCTGCGTGTGCCACACAGCGTCTCCTCCTCTCTGCAAGTGTGTGTGTGTGTGCCTTTGCCTGTGTCTGTGTCTGTGCCACAATCTTGTAAAAGTGTATATGTGTGTGAGTGCCCCTATCTATGTGTGTGTTGCTGTTTTGTAATTTGATTTCTTTTTGCCGCCCGCCTCCTGCTGAGGCACCAGCCAGCCACACAGCTTCAACATCAGCTTCAGCTTCAGCTTCAATTCCTTTGCTTCGATGATGATGCTGCTGACTGATGCTGATGCTGATGATGCTGCTGCTGCTGACGCACTTTTCTTTATTTTTTTTCTCTTTCTCTTTTCTCTCTTCTTTTGTTGGTTACTTTTTGTGTGTTGTTGTTGTTGGATTTATTTGGATTTTGATTTGTTGTAATATTTTATTATTAATTTTTGGTTGGATTTTGTTGTTTGCTTTTGCACTTGGCGCGGGCACAGAACCACACAGAAATACAATAAACGGTGCACGGTACACGGTACACGGTGCACGGTGCACGGTGCACGACGATTGTGGCTGCGTAGATTTTTCTTTTCGCGGACTTGTGGAAAACTATCTGCGTCTGACTATTGCTGGACTGCGACTGTTCTGGCTGGACTCGTTCCTCGCGTTACAGGAATCTCTATGGGCTGAAGGCGCTACCATGCACAGCTCGCGACGACGTTCCCGTTCTGACTGATTTTCACCACATAGCAGCAGAGGAGCAGCAGCAGCAGCAGCAGCAGATGGAGGAGCAGCAGCAGCAGGAGCCAGTCAGAGAGAGAGAGAGAGACAAAGCTCAGACTTCGGCTCTCTCTTTTGTCGTTCTTCCAGCAGAGCCAGGCTCTGCTCTGCTCTGCTCTCTCGCTCGCCCCATTTCGTGTGTACAGCACCAGCACTGACACGAAATCGGGTCACTTCGGGCCAGCCTTCGGCTAAGCTTCAGCTTCGGCTGCAGGCTTTGGCTGGCTTCGCGTGCTCTTCGGCACTTCCAGCACGAAATTGTTTATAACAGTTTCTCGTTACAATTCGTAAATTGTAATGCTTTTGGCCCTGGCTTCGCCTTTATTTACGTAATCAGCAAAAATCAGCAAAAGCTTTTGCAGCATCCACACGCGCTCTCTCGCTCCCCATCTCATCTCTCTTTTTTTTTGGCGGGAGTCACATGGGCTGGCTGTGCGGTGAAAAGCTAAGGACCAAAGCTTTCAGCTCTTTAGGTCAGCTTTAAGAGCGAAAATATACGGGGAGAGAGAGAAAGAGTGCACAGAGCGCGAAAGAGAAAGAGAGAGAGAAAGAGAAAGAGAGAGAGAGAGGGATAGAGAGAGCTGTGAAATCTGTGGGATGCCCAAGCATAATTTACAAATCAGACGACGACAACGATGACGACGTCATCAAAACCAAAATGCAGTTATAATGCACTCAGCGGTTGGAGAGGGACAAGAGATATATCAAGAGAGAGGAGAGATACATATATGGAGCAGGAGGGCGACAGCCAGAGAATGGGTAGGGGGGAGCAAGAGACAGAGAGTGAGAGAGAGAGAGAGAGAGAGAGCAGTGGATGGAGAATGCTGGAGGTATACAACCCGTGTGACAGCTGCCAGAGGGCGAGGCACAATCTCAAAGGTGTTTAGTCAACATGAACAGCAAGCAAGCAGCAAGCAAGCAGCAGCAGCAACAACGACAACGACAGCAACGACAACCGACAACCGACAGCCGACAGCAACAGCAACAGAAACCTGGAGTTATGTGCGGTAGGTCGGCCGCAGCTAAAATTAAATTTATTCATTGTTGTCTTTGGAAGAGAGAGCATAGAAGAGACCCCCCTTGCCACAGCACCAAAGAACCAAAGAACCTAACGAAAACTTACAGCAGATGCTTTAGCAGCAGCTGTTTGTTGTTGCTGCTGCTGCTGCTGCTACTTCTGTGTGCACTCAGGATTTGGCTCTGGGGCGTATTAAAGCTTTTACAAATCGTAAGCATAATTTATTTTGTTACAACTTTCGAGCAGCAGAGCCTGCTGCGTTGCCTGCCCCAAGCGGAGTGGGGCAGCTGCTGGCGGCTGGCTGCTGGTGGCTGGCTGCTGGCGGCTGGCGACATTGTTGGGTTCTATTGTTGGCGAAAGATGGATAATGGCATGGTTTTCCAGAGTAGCACTCGTGAAGTTTTAGGGATTAATTTGTAACAGCTTTTGTGGCAGGGTTGTGGCAGGGTTTTCGTCTGCTACTGCTACTGCTGCTGCAGTTGATTGAATGAGATAAAAAGCTTAAGTATTTGATTATCATGAGGTAAACTTAATTATGCGGTTTATCTGTTGTCCAGCCATCCAGCCCTAAGTAGCCTACAGTTTGTGCGTGTGTGTGTTCCCTTTTTTTTATGGGCCAGGCAACTCTGTTACTCTGTTACTCTGTTGCTCTGTTGGCAGAGTCATAAATCCACAGACAGGCGTTAAATCGTACCCCCAAATGGCTCGCCATAAAGTCAACACCTCAAAAACTCAAATGTCACCCCAGACACCAGCATCCAGCATCCCGCATCCCCTGTCCCCTCCCCAATCGACACCATCCCCACATAGGGGCAATCACAACAGCACAAAATGCTTAAACACGCTCAAATAAGTCACATGGCCTGTGCCACGCCCACTCACACACACACACACACATAGAAACAGGCAGAAATACAGCCGCACACAGCCATAGACACACAGCCATAGACACACGAACGAATCGTAAAATATAACGCATACGCAGCGTTGGCCCAGTCCCAGTCGCACCACCCCCTCGTCCCATGGCTGGGGCACAGCAATAAGAAAATGGCTCTGGAAATATGTTAATAATGAGATGTGAGCGAAGCCGCTGCCTAGCTAAATATTATACAAATACACATGCATCAAACACACACACACACACAGAGAGAGAGAGAGAGAGAGGGAGCGAGAGAGATGCAGGCGGATGCAGCCAGCGGAAAAGTCGGAGCAGCAGAAAGGGGGGAAAAAAAAGAAAGCAGAAAGCAGTGTAAAAGCCTTGCAAATCTACATAAACTCGGTCAAGGACACTGCAGCTGATGCTGAAACTGAATCCGACGGGGCTCTATGAGAAGATGCCAAATGTGGGGGGGTGGTGGTGGCGGTGGGGGAGGGGTTTTTGGATAGAGAGATGTGGATGTGGCATGCCACCCAAATTGCCTTTAAATATAATTATTTTCCCTTTATGCGACGTCAGTGACAGGGACACTGAAGGATTGCTGTTTGGGCCAGGCCAGGCCAGGCGTCACAGGCATCACTGGGGCAGGCATCCTTCTGCCAGCGACATTTAAATTTAGACGCACACACACACACACACATAGAGGTACATACAGTGGGCACAAAAGACGAACCAAAACATTCGGCTGCCGCAGCAGCAGCAGCAGCAGCATCCTTCGCTTCGCATCCATTTCGCTTGTAGATACGCAACCAGATAAGAAAAGTCACTTTTATGACGTCAGTAAACCATTTTAGACCGTTTTTCCTCCCCACCCCTCGTTCACAGCATTTTCCCCCATTCTGTTTCGGAGCGCGCGCAAATGTCGGGCAAGCATCGGAACAACAATAACAGAGCGCACGGCGAAAGGTCTTTCTCTTAGATTCTCCGACCAAAAAAAGCTCCAATCATTCATTTGCTCTCTCTCCCTCTCTCCAGCCAATATTCCTCCCTCTCTCTCTCTTTCTCTGTCTCTTCAGCCACTATCTGTCTCTTTCTTTCTGTCTGTCTGTCTGTCTGTCTGTGTGTCTGTGTGTTCGTTTCGTACCATCTATTACCATAAAATCAAATCACAACAATAACCATAACCATATAGCCCCAAGATTTAATAACTGTGATTGGGATTTGAAAAATGAATTTTCTTTCTCTCTGGGATTTTCTTTCGCCGCAGTTTTAGGTGAGATAATTTAATGGGTTTTCCCCCAGACCCTCCTCAACCACCCCCACCGACCGCATGTAAATGTAATTGAAGTGGAGGTAAACACAATCTTTTATGATATTTTTTTTTTTTTGGTTTGGTTTGGAAATATTGAAAATTGTTTCCGGATTTGTGGTGTGAATAAATGTTTAGTCATACAAATGGAATGGAATGGAATGAAATGGAATGGCAGATGATAAAAGATTGAGGTTCTTTATTCAGCACTCAGCATTCTGCATCCACCGGTGCCCATTCCCTTCATCCTATTCCAATTTGTTCGATGAAATTCAGTTACCGCAGGAAATCGGCATTTTGAGCATTTTTATAATTTCCGGTCTTAAGACTCTCACTCTCTCTCTCTCGGTCTCTCTCTCTGTCTCTCTCTCTCTCTCTCTCATCGTTTGTTGCTTAATTTCCGTCACCTACAAAAACAAATCAATTTGGTTGTCGAGTCCAGATGGATGGATGGATGGATGGGTGGACGCCCTATGGGTGGCATGGTAACCTTCCTCCCTTATTACAGAGGGATAGCAGCAGCAGCAGCAGCAGCACCCACTACTCTCGCCCTTACCACCTCTCATAATTATACCCGAAAAACTGTTGACATTGCCGCTTCAATTTGGTTTGATGTCAGTTCATTTTTGTTTACGGGATACGCCGCCGCTCCTTTGGACGGACTGCTTCTGGGCCTGGCAGTTTCTAGGCCAAAGCTCTTCTGCGCCTGAAATGTGAGTGAGGGCCAAATGCCGAAAGCAAAAAAAAAACTGACAGCCTCCTGTCCAGCTTTCTCTCTCTCTCTATCTCTTTCTCTTTTGTGTGGGGGATTTGGGCTTGAGGCGGGAGGGGGCGGGCTGCGAAAAGCTTCTCTTGCGGCTGTTAGCGGCATTAAATACAGCCCAACGTCTGCGTCGCGTCGCGTCCCCTCTCTCTCTCTCTCTCTCTGTCTCTCGCTGTGGGTCTGGGAGAAGTGTTTTGAAATCCAATTACCAGCGCAAATTTAATTTGTTGCTGCACTCGAGGAAAAAGTTGCCAACTTTCGCCCAACAGCAGCACCCCGCCGCTGATAGGCTATGAAAATTGTTTAGCTGCAATTCCCCTCCGTAAAGCCGTCTACGGGCGGGGGCGGTATCAGTGCCGCCGACACCAGAGATTCCGGCTGGCCCGAGGGCGGCGGCATCACTGGGCATCGCATCATCAAGTGGTCACAGAAGAGAGCGGGAGCAACAGAAAGCTGGAGAAAGTGGAACGGCGAGAGAGATAGAGATGGAGAGAGAGAGAGAGAGCCAACGCGGGTGCAAAAGTTTAATTTGAAAAAGGTTTTTTTTTTTGCGTTTTCGTTGGACTTTTGTTTTCCCTTTCTGGTTATTTTTTGTTGTACTTTTTTTTTTTTTTTGTGAAGGTTTGTTTTATTTTTATTAATTTTGTTTTTACTGTTGTTTTGGGGGCCGCCCTCTCCTCCCCCCCCTGTTCAGGAGGTGTTGAATTATGAGGAAAGTTCATGAAACTGGATCCTGGTAATGGAAATGGAAGTCTGCCTAGGTCTGCCTGCCCCTGGTTCGGGTTCCCCTAACAATTTGATAAGCCAAATAAAGCCATGTTATGGCCGTAGGCGGTTTTAAGTCGCGTCTCGATCGACTGGCACGTGGATTGTGCATGTCTGTGCATGCCTCTCGTTATATTTGTAGCGTGTAGCGTATAACGTGTAAAGTTCTGGGCAGTTCAGAGGTGTTTTTCCCCCAACACTATTTTTTTTGCCTGGTTATGCCAGCTAATTGGCT